ATTCCTGCTTCCTTAACAGCTAGGAAGTCTGGATGATTCTTGTGTGGATGAAATCCATAGTGATGTAGAATATATGAAGGCTTGAATTTAGAGATACAGACTAATCATTTATTTCATGAATTGCAGCATGCGCTTGGGCAATAATGTTCGGAGTTGTTCCAGGATGCACAAGCAAGCAGGCTGCCTAGCTTGCAAGCAAACTGCATAGCTGCTCTCTGTCTAGCTTTGTGTGCTGTACGTTCCTCTGTCTCTGAAGCAGAGTGCAGGCCTTTGCCTGCCATGCTAATGATGCCAAACTATCCAGTGAGACACGCTTCCGACTGTGCTGCACACTTAAGCTTCTGCTGAATCATTAGCATTTTAGCTTTCTTTATGTATTTACCCCATTTTATCCAGAGTTTGACTGTAGCAGGGCAGTGAGTGTTCTGCTCTGCGTCCGCATTTTCTCTTTATCCCAGACACCTTGCTACACAGGGCCAGGCCTGTTTGAATCTTTGAGCTTGCTCCTGTCAGGAGGCTTGAGAAGAGGGTTCCACAGCCTACAGCGAATTTACAGGTAGACTTTTCTGTGTGTACATCTATTAGGAATTACTATTGCTGTAGAAAATTTATATTCCTGGGGAGCTTCTTAAATTTGCCACTTTTGGTGGACCAATGAGCAACAGTGACCTCCAAAACTAAATTCTGACACAATCTTGCAAGTTGCTGTTAGAGTATATCACATCAACATAAAATTGCTCACTTGATTTTTTTCAGTGATTAGCATGGCTTTACTTTTTATTTTTTCCTGTTGAAATGGCTGTTTTTTTTTTTCCTCTGATCATTTCCTCTTTATTACTGATGAAATTAATACTCTCCTGGTTGTTTGGAAAGCTTTCTCTCTCTTTCTCCCCCCCCCTGCCCCCGTCTCTCTTTCTCTCTTGTTTCTTTCTCTTTATTTCTTCCCCTTTCCAAATCTAAGCTTGCAACTTCTTTACCTTCTACATGTGATAAAAGCTTTCCAGATGTAAGTCAGGTTTTGTTTTGGTCATCAGGATTAAATATGAAGTGTCAACTATTTTGATGGAATGTTGACTTTGAAACTTAAATTTCATGTTGTAATATTCTGAAATTCTTATCACTGGTGGGAGATGTGCACTTTATTCAGTCAGTGCAGAAATTGCAAGAAATTTAGTTCTGTAAAATATGATTGTGTTTGTATTGCAACTACTATTTTTTTTTCTTTTTAATACCATGGAGTACTTTGTGGTGATGTCCTTCCTGCTGTAACACCTTTCCCAAAAGGCAGAATTAAATGAATGCTGCATAGTAAGCCCTATTTAGTCGGAACAGTACGGAAAATGCTGAAGTTTGAGTTGTGTTTAGTTTGTCTCTACTTCACTAGAGGTGCTGCTGCTTGCTGGACCTATCTCCAAAATAGTGCTAAGGTGAAGAGCAGTGAAAGGAATTGTTGTGTTTCTGTGTCCTGCGGGCAGGTAAGAAGGCAGGAATACAGAGAAGGGCATCCCTCAGGTAGTAGTCTGGGGTTATTCTGTTTTAGTAGTAAATCTGGATAAAACATACTAAATAATTAAATCTGGTTTCTAGTAAGATGATGATTAATGCTACTGCTACATCTCCACTATTCAACCTATCCAGATTCAGACATTCCACATCATATGGAACAGAAATCACTTTGATTACTTTGGAGGTGTTTCTTTGCCTTGTTTGATAACTGAAGCTTAGGTCTGCTGACTGTTCTCTAATAAGCTAGTTCATTCTTTGCATTATTACTAGAAATATATTATTGAGTATTAGAATTGTTGTATACAGGACCTTTTTTGTTTACAAAAGTATAAAGCTAGTTCACAAAATAAACCTTTCTTGAGGGGGAAGAGGTTGTTTTGGACAATCATCTGTACTTTTGCTTGTCCTTATTTGATTTTTTTAGTTTATTTTTCCCATCTAAATGAGTTGCATAATTAGTGTCAAAATGGATTTTAAATGACCTGCAGAGTGTGAGTGTGTGTGTGTGTGTGTGTGTCTTGCTGCTCTCCCTTTCCCTTGTGGGTGGCTAACTTCTGTAGTCTAGCAGAATATTTAGATATAGTCCATTTTCTGCCCAGGAGACATAACTTTCTTCTGGAATAGGTGAGAAGAGAGGAAAGCAGCCAGGCAGTTGTGTTTATGGTTTCCTATATGTCTGTGAAGCCAGGGACTTTCATCAAGCTTAAGTTTGTAGCCAAAATGACACCTTGGGCAGAGAAGCTATGAAAAGCACAAAACTAAACTTAATGAGGATATGATAGGAATAAAGTGAGCAGTATGGAGATAAAAACGAAATGGTCTTTGTTTAGTTGAATATGAAATACAGTTTTGTCACCAAGAAAGTGAAATACTGTGTGTTTAAGCAGATTCTTTTGTCTTAAGTATTTTTGTCTTTAATTTCTGATAGTTGTCTAGAAGCAAAATTAAATGCTGTCTCTTGTTCTTAGCTTTGTGTAGCACTGCTTTCTGACAGCATCACTTCTGCTTCCTTGTTGTAGTAACAATGTGTAAGTAGAGAATTATGTAATGGCAGCCTTGGATCTTTGGGCATTAATGTGAGGAAGGAGAATCTTTTCACTGAATGCTATTTAAAAAAAAAAAAAAAAAACTTGATGCAAAATTTTGCGTTGATCTACTTGATGTTATTCTGTGCTGCAATTCTTGACACCGACTTGCGTATCAGAAGTGTTTTACCTTGACTTTATGCGTAAAAGCTGAAGGTGAACTTGATTGTCAGACAGGAGTAAAGAAAAAAGATTTTCCACTCTGAATTCTAGAGGAGAGAGGAGGTTGACGAGCTGTCTTTTTTGGATGTGTATGAGGCTCTATTTTATATATTCTTTCAGTAGAACTTTTAAAAATGTGATTTTTCTATATTATATTCCCTTTTGCTTGAAAGTAAGAAGTACTACCTTTTGCACTTTAGAGGGATCACGGACAACGTGAAAGTTAAGTGTGCTTAAATATCTTGGGGTATGTCATTTCAAACCCCATATGTGTTTATATTCCTACTGAGGAGAAAAAAAAAAAAGCCTAATATTTGCCTGGCATCACTTGTGCTAATTACATTACTGTACTGTACTTCACCCATCAAGCCCAATATAACTGACTGACTTTGATTTCCTCCTCCTCTAGTGGAGAAAAATTTCTGTACATACCAAAGGCATTACAACAGAAGCTCCCAGTTTTCGCGGGTCTTAAAGTTGACATCACATACAGTTAGAATTAATTTGTTCCAGAGAATTTTAATACATATTCTGGAGTCTTACGTAAACAGGGTTTTAAGTTTGTTTGTTTCTTCTTGGTACTCATGCTAAAGAGCAACTATAAAGCAATATCGCTGCTTCTGTTTCCCAGAATAATTTGATACACTGAAAGCAAGTTGGCTTTTCAGATGTTTAACTACCCAAATTTTAAAAATAAAATAATAAAAAGAATGCAAATATCTGATTTGTGCCTGTCAGAATTTTAAAGGGCTTGTGCAACATGGTGAAAATGGTAAATTACAAAAGGGGAGGGGGGGGGAAGAAAAGGTAGACAGACTTTCTAGTCTTAGTGTGATCTCTTGTACAAAGACACAACCACCTCTCCATCACTACCTATGATGATTCGCTTTTTTTTCCTCCTAATATTAAGTGGTAGAGGTTTCTGTTCAAAATTAGGGTTAGCTATTCCTGCTGTAATTTACATACCCTCCACAATTTAATCCCAATATCACATATCCACTTGAAGTAAGATACCATTCCTATGTGTTTGAAGGCTATTATATTCTCTAGATTTTATTACTTATACTGAAGTAACGCTTTTTTCAATACCTTTTTTGCATAGGCTTTCTGAAATTTATTTTCTTTGCTTGTTTTAATTTTTTTTCCAAATCACTGTTACAGCACCTGAGACTTAATTGATGAGAAGGAGAAAAGGAGGAAGTCCTTATGTCATGTATTCAATGATTTGTCATCTCTTTCCATAATACCATGAAACTGACTCTAATTTGGTTGATGAATCTTATGGGCTCTGAAGATGATTACTGGAAGACTTTAGAACTAAAAATAAAATCCCAGATATTGTTTTACCATAGGAAGTTACCTTAAAAACACTGAACTGCATTTTTTTTCAGGCATTTGGAAATAAGGAAAAAAAATTCACACAGCATGCAGCCATGATAAGATGCTTGTTGAATGTATATGTCAAGCCTGTGTGTATCAGTTAGTATGGATGTTTTTGAACAATAAAATTGCCTAACTATTATCATTGTTTTAAGTGTGGTTTTGATTTAGCTTTAAATGTACCTTGTGGAAAGTTTGAAAAATGGTGAAATCATAGATGTCTCCTACCTAAGTTGCAGCTGCTTTTGTTAGGAACTGGAAGATGTGTTTTGCAGATGATGTTAAATTTTCCCAATGTAGCAAGCTGTAATCCCTTCTTACTTACCTAGGTAAAACAAACCAGTGTAGAAGAGAGCTTTCCCAGAGCTTGGCTACGCTGAGAAACTGGGATGCTGTTAAGTGCAGCTCCTCTTTACGAAAGGAATAGCAGGTTTTATGCTATCTTTTCTGCTCTTGCAAATGAGTTGAAGCTTCCTCTTCAAAAATGGATAAATCATAGAGAAGATGTTGGCAAAAGTAATAGCGATTTCAGTCGTGTAACATGCCTGTGCAGCAGCTCCCAATAAAGTCTCCCTTTTTATTTGTAGATGAAAAACTTAGGAAGCCTAAGGGAGGGAAACAGTCCATGTTACTGGGCTGGCATTCCATGCCATTTGATAGGAGAGTTTGGAATAGTGCTCTTCGGATTGCACAATGAGTTTATCACAACTTGAACTCCACTTTAGGAAGATTTTTGGTACTGGTTCTGTTGCAGGCAAAGGACTAAATTTGTGTAAAGTGCTTAACTACTTGGGATATCTTTTAAGCCTGTATAAGAACCTTTCTTGCTTACTTAAAAATACAATTTGAAGAGACATGCGTTTTGAGCAATTAAATGAGTTGGGCAATACCCTCTCGATTTCTTAACATTAGTGAGCTCAATCACCCCGTTAGTATACTGCTCCCTTCTTGTCCTCTGTGGGTTTTGATGTGTAAATTTGGTTAAAGATTGAGTGCTATGTAACTTCTGTCTCTCCAGGTGAAGATGGAGCAGGTAAAACGAGCTTAATAGGAAAAATTCAAGGAATAGAAGAATACAAAAAAGGAAGAGGAATGGAGTATTTGTATTTGAATGTGCACGATGAAGATCGAGATGGTAAGTTTGTAATTGTAGCAATATTTGAACCAGTTTGGAAGTTCTGTAGTGGGATCCTGGGGTGCATTAAGAGAGTCTCCAGCACGTCAAGGGAGGTGATCCTGCCCCTCTACTCAGCCCTGGTGAGGCCACATCTGGAGTATTGTGTCCAGTTCTGGGCCCCACAGTACAAGAGGGATGTGGAGCTGCTGGAGAGAGTCCAGCGCAGGGCTACAAGGATGATGCTGGCCTCTTTTCAGTGGTGGCCACTAACAGAACTAGAGGAAACTGTGAGAAACTGAAGCATCAAAAGTTCCACAGAAACTTAAGGAAAAATTTTTTAACAGCGAGGGTGACAGAGCACTGGAACAGGCTGCCCAGAGAGGTTGTGGAGTCTCCTTCTCTGGAGATCTTCAAAGCCCCCTTGGATGCAGTCCTGTGCCACGTGCTCTAGGTGACCCTGCGTGTGCAGGGAGGTTGGACTAGGTGACCTCTAGAGGTCCCTTCCAACGTTAAGCATTCTATGATACTTGAAATGAAAGTAGCATTCTTATTTCCTAGATTATTTGCAGGGATACAGCTTAGACCATGAATGATTTGTATCATGAGGAGATTCGTAGGTTTTTCAATCCAATTAAACTTTAGTAGATATTATGAATAACCATGGAAAGATAGAGGAGGCAAGTAGTCAGTGAAGAGGTTGAAAAGACCAGAAAAGCAACTTTAGCTGCACTAATCTAAATTGATGGTTGGTAGAAGTGCTTTTCTCAAGCCTGAAGGAAAACCTGTCTAGACTCTTATCTAGGATCTCAGTTGTTGCAGTAAATATTTATCTTTATGGGCATCCAGAGAAACCTCTGTCTTGGTGAGAACAGAGACAATGTGCAAGACTACACATAAGGCACTGATACGTAGGAAAATGTATACAGTGATAAAGGAGGTATAAAGGCAGAAGACATGAAAGAGAACTTGAAGAGGAAAATGGAAGTTGTGATTTTGCTGGCTTGATTCATCCCCTAGCTACAAGATTGGAGAAGCTTAAGGTAGACTCAAAATACCTGTGCTGATAGAGTGGATGCCTGTATATGGAGGACAGGGGAAGGGTATGACCAGGCTCTGTAGAGGTACAATGAATTTGCCCATAGGCAAAGCTTAGAGAGGCAGGATATGAATAAGGACACACTAGGAGCTGTGCAGGGAGAATAGTGTTTCTTGTCCACCCTAAAAGCTAAAAGGAAAACCAGAGAAAAACACTTTTTTCCTCCTACCTGAAATCGTCTGCTTTCCTGACTTCCATGTCTGACTGTTGTGCTCAAAGATGGCTTGACAGGATTAATGGGATTGGGATTTTTGATTTAAATGTGTATTCCTCAGAGCTCCTGTAATCATTTGTTTGATTTTGTTGTTGTTTTGTTTTTTAAATATCTGAAGTCAAACTGTAAGTGCTCTAACTTTGAATCTCCAGCTTGTTATTCACAACGAAAGTTGAATGTCTTTGAATATACGAGTAAAGTGTTTTGGGAGAAGAAGCAGTGGAGCAGTCTGGCTTTGTGCTGCTCTTTTTTGTTTGTTTGTTGCTTTTTTTCTAGATCTTTCTAGATTAGAAAGACTAGCCATGAATAAGGTGTTTTTTATTTTTTCTGATAACTTTCCATCTAAACTATCCCTCTAAAGTATTAAAATTTGCAATAGGCCAATCACAGGCATATCATGTTGTAGTTTTGCAGGGACCATCCTTGATGGCCAAGCAGCCCTAGGACTGGGAATTTGCCCTATTTTCTTCACTACCTCCCAAGTTTTTTGGAGGGGAGGGGCAATCTTCCTCTAAAATGATGAAGATAAATTTTGAAACTATTGAATGTTACATTTGGGCTTTTGCTTTTTGAATGGTGTGTTTAAGATCTTCAGTTATCAGCCATTATTCTCAGTGCTTTAAATTTCAGGGCTTGGGAGAGGAGGGGGATTTCTCCAAGCTGTGGTTTGCTCTCTTGTTATATATCTCCTTATTTACATGGTACAATGGATCTTCTTTTGTTTCTTGTATTTTACATGTCTGTTACCCAGGAGATACTCAATCTTCATTAGACATTTCAAACAAGGCTCTCCAATTACTCTCTTTTTCTCGTAGATCAAACAAGATGTAATGTGTGGATCTTGGACGGTGACCTATATCACAAAGGTCTTCTTAAATTTGCAATGGAGGCAAGCTCTCTAAAGGACACTCTGGTTATGCTGGTAGTAGACATGTCTAGGCCTTGGACTGCACTGGATTCTTTACAAAAATGGGCAAGTGTTGTAAGAGAGCACATCGACAAGTTAAAAATTCCTCCTGAAGAAATGAAAGAAATGGAACAAAAGTGTGAGTATTCTGCAGATATGTAGCAACCCATTAAAATCAAATATGCTTAATGCTTTTTGCACCATTTAACCTCTCCATTGCAGTCTATTTCATGCTTGGGAATTACGATTTAAAATTGGGAGTTGGAGATACTCCATTCAACTTCTAGATAAATCCCAACTCGATACTCCATTCAACTTCTTGATAAATCCCCTTCTAAGAACTTAAGGTGATAGCTCTGCGTTAATTTTGGACAGCCATTTTTTTCTCCCCTGGGCGTATGTTCAGTCATAACATGGATCTTTTTCACTTGCCTATCCTTGAATTACTTCAAGAAAGAGTATTTGGGAAAGCCATGTTTTGAATTCAAATATCATGATCTAACTTTGTTTACAGATCTGAAGTTGCTCTCAAACCAGGACATTTCTAAGAAACTGGGTGTCTGATTGCTGAACAGCTTTGTTAGAAATGCCTGGTGTAGCTGTGATTAAAATAGCCCATATTGTATTAGTTGTAGAAAATCTGGATTTTTTTTTTTCTGTTTTTCTTTTGTGGTGGTTCTTTTAAGACAGACCCTTGTGGGAGGAGTCTTGTCCTTTAGGATTTTTCATTACAGTAATTTGTTCAGGAGAAAAAGCATGTGTGGCTTTTTTGGGGAGTGGATTTTTTTTCTGCTGTTTTTCTTCTTTTTCCATATATTAAGAAACACACACAGACAGAAACAGTTTCCAGATATGATTTTGCTGAATGGAAGTACCAAGGAAGTAATTTATTTATCAAGTAATGTTTAGCTGTTAATTTAGCTCCTTTGCTGACTGGTTGAACCAAACAGTGATATTATAGAAAATCCAGAAAGGTCAGTTGAGCCAAGAGTAACAGCTACACAAAGTTTTTATCTGCCACCTAGAATTCTTTTATCATCTAGCCTAATTCCTGCAGATATTGGTGGTCTGTGTGCTGGGTATAATAGAAACCCCGAATGTAGTGCAGATCTTAGTTGGGAAAAGTTTTATTTTGGCACTCTTGTGGAGTCTCCTGCATGCTAGGCTAACAACAGCTTGTGACTGCCCAAAGGAGAGGGAAGTGCAGCTCACCTCATTTCTGGCTGCCTCGGCCTGCTCCATCTGAGCTGCCTGAATTTACTAACAGGATTGAAATCTAGTGAGGGTGTGTGGATGTAGTGTTCTAGAGGTATTTTGTCAGGGTTTGTCTTTCAGTTCTAGCAACTTAACTCCACTCAGGCAGACCCTGAGTCCTGAGGCTGGCACAAGTGTGAGGGGATAGAGAGAGCTCTTTCTGGGAATGGGCTCTTTCTTCCCATTTTGGGGTTCAGCTGTGTCTCGTGGTCTGGGCACTTCCATGGTTCCTCTAGCAAGACCTGAGATTGAGGTAGTCCAAAGATTCTTGGAATACAATCCTTCTCCTTTTTCCTGCTTTACCTACTTGTAGGAAAAATTTGTTATAGACATGCAATGGGCATTTTGGGACTGTAGGAAGACTTTTAGCACTGGAGTACTGTTATTTTTATTTTAGTATGCAACTATCCCAGAACAGAAAGGATGCTCTTGGGGAAAGCCTCCCTTGTGTGGCTGGCAAAGCCCAATGAGAGCTCTGCATTTAAAATGGTACCAATTCAGAAGCCTCTCAGGGGGGTCATGAAGTGACTGTTGAAGCAGGGATGCTAATCTGCAAGAAAAGCTTTCTGTTTCTGTAAACTCTGAAACTCTTCTGTACTGAAATTGAATAATCCTGGCCTATATAAGCTTTTTCCAAAGGTTCTTGAAATGGGTCTTTCCCTGTTGATTCAACTAATGCTTTTCTAGATATGAACTCAGGGCTGCAATTGGTTCAGAGAGGATAGGGATGGATTAACATAAATCAGGGAACAAGCAGTGAGAATGTACTAGAGAAATTTGCCCCCAGTGTGCACAATTCAGCTGAATTGTTTTGCTGCCTGAGGGTTTTTTAGCTGAATCAGGCTGTGCTACTCATGTGAAAGTCATCAGTGGTTTTTGCAGATGAAATGTCAAAGTGGGACATGGGATAGGCAAGGTCTAGGCAGTTGAGGCCTAATGTTGCATCCTTGACTGCAGAAAGTTACACTTTGTCTCCGTTTCTCCTTGTTACATTTTAACCTATCCTTCTTGCTAGATTATAAAATAGTATTTGATCTATGTGTTTTAGAAGCATACCCAGTATTTAATATGGTGTTAACTAATGGCATGTTCATATGCTAGTATAGAGGTGTTTGCTCTCCTTCCATTGTATAACAGTTGTCCAATTGCTACTAAAAGCTATTAAATAACTAATACTTGTATATTCTGTTTTCTCTTGCTTATCGCTACTGTATATTCACTGTATAGAGAGAATAGTGTGGACATAAGATTTCTAGGTCAGAGTGGTATAAGGCAGCAGGCAAGAAATATGTGAAACTTGCTTATGTTTATTCTAACAACCTGTTCCGTTAATTATTCCATTAATTATACCAAGAAGAGTACAAGGAAAATCACTTTCTTTAGGAGATATATCAAGTAATAATAGTAATAATAGCTGATAGCAACTGCTAGTGGTTCCACAATAGTTATGATACAATTGGGTTAACATCCTTATATTGACACTTTTTTCCCCTCTGATGATGTTCTTTTACCTGCTGATAAAGGTCTTAGATTTGGTAGTGCCCTCCTATGCTGCGCAGAACAAATAAGCAGGACTCAAGGCATGTTCAATTCTTTTCAAGATAAGAAGCAAAAGTACAATACAATAAACAGTCCTAGAGATCAAGGGGAGTGGAAAACATTGTTGAAATAATACAGTAGCTGATCTTTTAATACAACTTTTTTTGCTTTCAGTGGTAAGAGACTTCCAGGAATATGTAGAACCAGGCGAGGATTTTCCAGCTTCTCCACAGAGAAGAAATACTTCATTACAGGAAGACAAAGATGACAGTGTGATTTTACCCCTGGGTGCAGATACACTAACATGTAACTTAGGCATTCCAGTAGTAGTAGTTTGTACAAAGGTTTGTTTCATGTTTTAGGTTTTTCTTTGCATATTCTGTTTAAGGAACTCTGTCAATTGTGGATTTGGGGTGGGCAGCACATGGCTCTTCAGTCATTCTGAGAACACTGAATAAGTGTTCTTAAGTGCTCAGTATTGAAGATTTGGGTCTTCTGGAAGCCCTGACTCTGTGCTCATTGGGAGAAGCTTTGCCCTGCAGTCATAGCAGTGTGCAGGAATTTGAGGAATACCTTAGCCTTAGTTTTGTTCACAGAAGTGAAATGGGCAATAAATAACTAGAATACACCCTAGTCTGATAAATCTTCCTTTTCCACAGTATTTTGGATTTTATTTTTTAAAGTATTTATCATCTTTCTCTGAAGATGACTGTATTTGAGAATTTTGGTTAGTAAAGCGTTTCTCTACTAACTTTCCTTAATTCTTGGAATGCTTCTATGATCTATTTTGATATCTGTTAGATATCTAACAGTACTCTCGGTCTAAAGAAAAAGTGCTGTAGTTCCCCTGTGATCTTTTCCTCTGGCTCTGCTGTTCTCATGGCTACCAAGCTGCACCTGCAGCCTGTGAGGGCCCACAGGAACAGAATAAGCCTCTTGCCACAGATGCTGTTCCTTTGCTGCAAGGCTAACCCTCATTGGCTGCACTCAGCCACTTCTGTTGCCATTCACTGGCTCTATTCCTCTCTCCCCATGTTGTGCACTCCTCCCACACGCACACATTCCTTTTTTTTGTTTGTTTTTGTTTTTCTCCTGCTTCTGCATTTCTTGCTCTTGGCTTTCTTTGCAAAGGACTAAGTAGTCACTGGCCCAAAAGACTGTGTCCTCTAATATTCCAGTATGCAGAGGCATCACGCAGAGAGTGTCATTCTCACCCAATAGGCCAATCTTCAACGGAGACTCTGGGATGTCACGTAGTGTGTGTGGGTGGAGAGGGAGGTGGAGAGGAAGTGAATGCAATATCACAGTCAATTTAGTTCCCAGTTTAATGCTGCCCCCAGTAAATGCATGTCAAGTTAGATTGTTTTAAAAGAATTACTTATCCAGATACACTTAATTATCTCAGCAGAGTTTTACTCTGCCTTCCCCCCAGTTATAAACTGGAGGTGTAGCAGTTCAGTGCTAACTGCACGCTAATTCTGTGTTTGACTTGACAGTGTGATGCCATCAGTGTGCTGGAAAAGGAGCATGACTACAGGGATGAACACTTTGACTTCATTCAATCACATATCCGACGGTTTTGCTTACAATGTATCCTTTAACACCTCTGAAGGATAAAGATCCTTTACAATCAATTTCTTTACTTACCTTCATTTTCATATTAAGAAGCAGCTCCTAAATTGACAATCCTCGGATGACAAGTTTCCTGAAACAGTAACAGGCAGATAATTCATGTAACTACCATGGTGTTTCACATAAACATAAGGCATGCTGTTTATTTTAATCTGAATATTCAGTCTCCCTTCAATAATTCGACAAGGTACTGCAATTTGACAAGGTGATGAGAGCAGGAAGTACAAATCAGTGGTGGCCAGTGACAGAAGAAGGGGTAATGGGTACAAATTGAAACACAGGAAGTTGCATCTCCATATGAGGAAGAACTTCCTTACTGGGAGGGTGACAGAGCCCTGGAACGGGCTGCCCAGGTTATGGAGTCATCTTCTCTGGAGATCTTCAAACCTTGCCTGGGTGCCACCCTGTGCCATGTACTCTAGGTGTCCATACTGGAGCAGAGGGGTTGGACTAGATGATCTCTAGAGGTCCCTTCCAACCTCAACCATTCTGTGAGTCTGTGATAAGCTGTCACTGTGCTGCTGCTGTTAAGTTTCATTGCTCAAGAAAATGCATAACGTACTGTTTAATATTAAAATAGGTAAGCTAAGGTCTAGAGTTTAGATACCAATAGTATGTGTATATTGAGCTACCATCATTCATGCTGTGGTAAGGCAAAACTTAAAATACCTTCATAAAGGCAGTAGCTGATGGAACAAAAATCAGTTCAAGATCCTGCAACCTCAGATTAGCTCCAAGTTGTCCTTGCTTCCTTCAAAAAGCTTTGAAGCGCTCATTTTTCAAAATGGAATGGTTGCTGATTGTAATGAGGTTGCCATAGGAAGGATGGGAAAGATTAATAGAAATTAGTCACTGTAGCCATATAGCCAATGTTCAAACTGGAGCTCATTTCAACCTTTTGCTGAATGTGAATCGCACCCTTTAGATGCCCTTTCTCTTTCTGAATTCAAGTTGCATGTGTAGAAGCAGGTTAGTGTTTTGGGCATGGTATGATCTCGGGTAAAAAGTATTTTAAACTTCTCTGGCTGCTTCTATTACTCCTGTGTACAAGCAGTATTATTTTGATATTGACCCATGTCAGAGTACCAGACCCTGTCTCGGTCTTTTAACAATTTAAAAACTGATGCACAGTACAACTGGTTTGCCTGCCTTTGATTGTAAAGGAGGTTTCTGTAAAACATATGAGCTTGCTGCTCTATTTTAGGTTCCCAAGAGAGGGAGTGAGAGGCTGTTTGGCATTTTTGAAGCTATTAGTGTTAATGCTGGGGAGTGTAGGTGTGACATCTCTATCCAGCCCTGCAAGTTGGGATGATGGTAAGAGGTAAGAATAGTGCGTGGAAACTTTCAGATGGGAAAAGCACTAGACAGTTTTGAAGGCATCATAGTGCAACCATTGGTACCGTGGGCTTTGAAAGCTAGAGGAGTCATGGAAGCAGCAGATGAGTTTGCTTAAAATAAATCCTGGGGAAAAAAAAAATTGAACTATGGAATAGTTTGTTTCAAAATTAAGTTCTATAAGCTATTTAACCTAGTTGAATTTGTATTCTCCTTTTAAATTTTAAAAAGTTGATATCCTGTAAATAAAAAATTGGGGGGCAAAAGCATTTTATCATCTCTTAGTAACCACAAAACAGAATTTTCTTTAACGAGTTTATTCAGATGGGGCAGCACTTATTTACACTTCAGTAAAGGAAAACAAAAACATTGATTTAGTATATAAATATATAGTTCAGAAATTATATGGATTTCCTTTCAATGTTCCAGCTGCTGTTGTGGAAAAAGACGCTGTATTTATGTAAGTTTTCTGCATTACTATGTGTATATGGCTGGGCAGTGTATTTGTGCAGGGCTTGGAGGCCACTATGTTTGTTGTTGTTAACGTGTTTTGAAATTCCAACGTAACATTCTCACAAGGAAAAGACTGGACGCGTGGGGAGTGCCACTACATCAAGATTGCAAATATTCATGGCCACCAAGAGAAGTGTTGAGCCGGGAGATGTTTCTCCTCTGTATTACAGGAACAAACCGTAATCTCTGATTATGCTACTGGGGGGGGGGGAAAAAAAAACAACAACAAAAAAACCCAAAAAACAAACAAACAACAAAAAAAAAACAGCTTGCATGGAAGAAGGGGAGTTACTAGAGCTTTCTTGGCTTTCAACTCTGTGCAAATCGGGATTGTCCCCAACCATAACCTGAAGTATCAACAGAATTTAAAGCCAAATCCCTCTTTCTCTAGTCCTGCAGGTTGGGATAATGACAAGAAGATAGGAATATTGCATGAAAACTTTCAGACGCTAAAAGTGGAAGACAGTTTTGAAGATATCATAACAAAGCCACCAGTCAGGAAGGTAATCTGAAATGTTTTAAAACAAAAGTAATTTTTCTAATACTCCGGCATTCAGTATTCTTTTTCTACTTGTGAGGTTTTTGGAGTACTTCCTGTCTTTGTTCCAGTTTATCATGAGACTACTTTGTGTGTATTTTGCTTATTTTGTCTTTATTTTGCTCTCCGATTTCTTCTTAAATTACCAGAAAAACATTGTGTGTATTTGTGTTCTATGTAGCTTTTTCTCAGTTTACAGTGTCTTCTTTTGGCATGATTACCTTATTCAAGATATACTTGTATACAGATATACTTGCTTTTCTCTTAATGCTTGTCAGTATTGAAGAGTCCAAGTGTCATTTAACTTTTGGTCACGGTCGATGTAGTATTTTTACTAACACTTTGTTATGCTCTGAATTAGGATAAATTCATGATTTTTCCTTGTTTTAGATACTCTATGGAAACGCAAAGCTTGATAGAGTATAAAACCAAAAGCAGGCCTATTAAAACAGGTTCTTACTCCTTCAGCATATTCTTCTCTTTCTTGCTGTTCAGAGACTTTGATAGAACTACATGAAACGTGCAGAGTTGTTGAGTAAAATGACAGCAGCAGTGGACCCATGTGTGGCCAACTTACTGAAGAAAAATATCTCTGTGGCTTTTTAGAACCAAGCTAAGAATTCGGGCAAATTGTCATTTCCAAGTTGACAAAGCCAATACAATGTCCTTCTGTAGTCTTTTTAGGTATAAAATACTATGTTGATTGCAGAGCATATTTGCTTTTTTATTAAATGCCTTGGTCATATTTATCAAGAGATATAAAAGACAAACTTTAAAAAAAAAAAATTGTTAATGTGTTTGTATTGCAGTTTGTTCATGAAAAGGAAATTGTAGCAGAAGACGACCAAGTATTTCTTATGAAACAACAGGTAAAATTCTCTCTGTAAAACCAAGCAGCCAGTTTCAATTAACAAGTCCTGTTAGATAGTACAGATTTGTTTTATTCTCCATTTTATTTATTTTTTGCAGTCGCAGCTGGCGAAACAACCACCTGCAGCAGGAAGACCAGTGGTTAGTAATAAGAATTTTAAATCCCATCACATGAAAATGGTTCATTTTCATATGTTTAGGGTTTTTTTTTTTTTTTAATATGCATTACCAGGTATTCCTTGATGTAAGGTTTTGTTCTGTTTTGTTTTTTAACCACGCAGTGATGAAAGTCTGCATCTTACACTGCTCTGAAATGGCAATACTCCTTCCCAGCTAGGCATGACTGCTTGTACTGGCAGTGCAAGCTACATGTCATGCTTTATGCCCCGTGCATTCGAGCGAATCTCAGCGACTGGCTGGCTACTTCTGTCCCCAACGTGTGGCAGGGAGCGATCTGCATCTCAGCTGAACTGCCCTCATCAGTTCCATGTCCTCAATCTGGCACTACAGCTCCAAGAATATTAGACTCCAGCATAAAACTAAGCTCAGATGAAAATTATGGCATGAGCTGCATTTAAATAATGTATTTAAAATATGACTAAAATAACTTAAAAGTAACATGAGTTTAATGGAGAGCATGGGATCTCATGGAGGTGGCTCTTCTGAGATGATCTGCAATTTTTCAGAACCCTGACATGCTATCTTTGAAGCAGTGAGGAATGCTTTTCTCAGTGTTCCTTTAGTCCTTCCCACCATGCTGGAGGTCTGTGTTTTCTTTCCAAGGCACTTCATATAGTTCCTGTGAGCCAGTCGGGGCAGTTCTCATTACAATCAGCAGCATTACTGAGGAACAGAGGGTATCTTCGTTTCTGGCAGATTAAGGGAAAGGCTTCAGCAGTGACTTAGCTGTTGGACTAAAGTTAACGTTTGTAATAATGTTGCACAAGCGTGGTGAAAAATCCATGTACAATCAGTACAATTGATCTTGCATCATTTCAGTTGCATGGGATGCTACGTTTTCATTAAAAAAAAAAAGATTTAGCTCTGCAAACAACAAAACGCTTAATTTGACATGCTTCTTATACAGAATTAAAATCATGCTACAAAGTTTGACTACTTCAACTTTGGACTTTATTGTTTCCTTTTGCATAGGATGCCTCACCAAGAGTTCCTGGAGGGTCTCCTAGGACACCAAATAGATCCGTAACATCCAATGTTGCCAGTGTTACACCTATCCCTACTGGGTCGAAAAAAATTGATCCCAATATGAAAGGTACCTTTTCTCGTAAGGGCGGCAAATACACTTAGGAAGTAAAATAGGTGCTTTTGCCTGCTTCCCCTAGTGTTTTTGTTTAGATTGACTGACACACGGGGTCAGGATTTATTTAGAAAATATATATATATATATATATATATTTCCCTTCTCTTATTATAGCTGGAGCTACTAGTGAAGGAGTCCTGGCCAACTTCTTCAATAGTCTGCTGAGTAAGAAAACTGGTTCCCCCGGTGGCCCCGGTGGTGTTGGTGGCAGTCCTGGAGGAGGTGGCACTGGAGGTCCTGGGAGCAATTTACCACCATCAGCAAAAAAGTCAGGTATGATTAATGATAAGAGATCCACTTAATTTGAGCAATGCATCATTTCTATTAATACAGTTTATCAGGAGCATGACTGTATTTAATTGGATGTCTCACTGGTTTTGCTTCTGGTTTTGTTTTCACAGTGTTGTTAGTATTGCCTCTCGTGACTCTCAGAGGTCCTAAGAAAACCTTTTATATGGTTGTTAAAGGCTTGCAGTAGAAGTCATTTTCTTTGCTAAGTTGATTTTTTTAATTGTATTTTTTAGCAATACTGCCAGTGTTGTGTGGTGTGTGTGGCTGTATGTGTAGGGGGGTTATTTTGTTTTTCTAAGTGATCTAGATCTTCTAGAATCAATTTTGATTTGAATGACTTTGACAACATCTAAAACTACTTATGTATTTTTCATTTATTGCTTTTTTTTTTATATGATGTCATTAGTATTTAGTGTTCATTTGAAATGTATAATAGTGACTGCTTTAAAGTCACTAGCTGCAAGACTATTCTGGTGCCTCATTTCGGAGGAAAATGTTTCTGCCTTACGGATATACATACTAACATTCTCCCACCTTCCAGTAACGCTGCATTTATGTGGGAATGTTTGTGACTCATCTCTACTTGATATTAGTGTTTACTTAAGTATATTAAAAGAAAAACCACCTGGTTTTCCACTCAGCATCTTGTGAGGACTAAAACCAGGCATTTTTCTCCCATACCTCCCTTGTCTCTGCAAAGCTCAGCTTGCTGAACAAGGTGTGCGAGGGCTCCCTGCTGCACGGCGGGTGCAGCCAGGGCTGGTTTGAACAGCCTGAGGGGAGGGCCCAGCCAAGTGTGGCTGGTTCCACGGGAGAGGCGCAGAGCAGCCGCCAGAAACCCCTGCCGGAGCGGCCTGCAGCAGCCCCGTGATGCCGCTGAATGAGGGCAGCGCTCGGGAGCAGCACGTGTGGCCATGGCCATGGTGGAAGCTTCAAGAAAGAATTAAAATCTTAGGGAGCAAAATGTCTTTGGTCACAAAAGTCTCCCTGCTCCACAACAAGGATGAGGTGTGCCTGGGGTAATGTGGCAGAGGACTAGACTCTCAAGGAATGCTTGTGAATCAAAACAAGTTTGTCTTAAATGGAGGCTCTACACCTTCCTTGGTACTTACTGACTCAACTTCGTAGATAAACCAGGCAACTTATCCCAAAATTCGCTGTTAAGACAAAGGCTTAGGGGCTGAGATTTGTCTTCCTCACAGAAATTATAGGTATTTTTTCTGTTTGTACACTCCAATCTTACCTGTTTGGCTGCTGATATGATGTTAACTTTCTTTAAATGACTTGAAGAACAGCACAGTACACCCACCAAAAACAAGCTTGGGGTAGCTTCTGTTAAGGTGCATCTTCAGAATGGCTGCACTGGACCTTGCTAAAACTACTTAGGCATTAACATCTTCCTTTACAGCCTGAAAGAAGCTGAGGAGTGCAAGGAACCTACCATCCCGAATGTGCATATGGGCATTGATGTCAGCTTTATGCTGACCAGCTGTATGAAACTGATTTTCTGGGTTAGTGTGTGTGGTGACTTAAGTTCAGAATCGCTTTAAAATACAGTTGATGCAAAAATCTGTGTGGAAGTATTCTTACCTGCTAACCTTTACTATCTCTTCTGTATGAAAAAACAATATAAGGCATAATAATGAACTGATAATTGATGTGCAATTAGGGAAGTTGCTTAGAGAAGTCTGAAACACATCAGAATGTTTCAGGTTTCTTCTTCTTGCTATTGATTTTTAATGTCCTCACTCTGCATACAAACTATGAAATAACAACAATTTTTTCTAAAGCAAAAACATATATTTTTCTCTTTTTTTCTTTATTCATTTTTAAAGGTGCTTCTTGAGGAAAAAAAAAAGATACTAGAGGCTTTCCCAAAACTGCTTCCTAAGCATGACTGGACTATATGCTTGTCTGTTGTAGGCCAGAAGCCAGTTCTAACAGATGTGCAGGCAGAATTGGACAGAATTTCACGAAAACCTGAAATGGTCTCTCCTACAACACCTACATCTCCTGCAGAAGGTGAAGCCTCCTGAAGACACCAAATAGAAGCAATTGTTCAGTTTTTGGGATAAATTCAAACTTGCCTCGGCCTCTTCCTTCAGTGACTGGAACTAAAGAGCTGAAACTTTTTTTTTCTTTTCAGAGAACACAAGCAGTTGATGTCTCTCATATGCGTTGCCCAGCTTTACAAAAAGGAGCCGTACAGACTGAAAACAGTATCACACCACGTAGGACTACTGCTCACAGTGCAGCGATAGTAAATTTTTTTTCAGGGTTTTGTTGGAAAGTCGGTGTAATTCTGTAAATTTGAAAATGTGTCCACTTTACCTGAAGTTAGAGGTTGTTTAGATTGGGAAAACTGATACACACCACAGGCACTTAATTTATATTGATCTCCTGACCTGTTAGTCAAGTTTAATACCATCTTAAATAGATTAACCTCTAAAGGTGAGAACTACTCTGAGTTTTATGGAAGAGAAAATGATAAATTGCACAAAACTGTAACAGCAACAACAATAAAGTCCAAATATATTTGAACACTTCATTTGGAATATGGTTGCAAATCTGTTTCCTCTCCCTTTATACTGAAAAAAAAAAAAATCCAAGAAACTCATTTCAGAATGCAAGACCTGAAATTAATGGCCGGCCTGATTTTTTTGATTAATTTCAGACACTGAAAAAAAAAATGTATAAATAAAAAGCGGAGGTTAAATGTACAGATTATCGGTATCCAGATTTGTCTATATATGTGGCTCAGCCTTAATATCCCCCTTTTGTTTCTCACACTAGTTATGGTTTAAAATTGGTCATCAGAACTGTAATCTGTTAATAAAGTATTCTCTGCATTCAAATTTAAATAACTTTCACTGAACCCGTTGTGTGCTTCTTTGCTTACTGTTAATCCTAAGGATGCAGGCTATAAAGTCTCAAAGTATCCTTTTACACAGACTCACAGAATGGTTGAGGTTGGAAGGGACCTCTAGAGATCATCTAGTCCAACCCCCCTGCTCCAGCAGGGACAACTACAGCATGTAGCACAGGGTGGCATCCCAGGTGGGTTTGGAAGATCTCCAGAGAAGGAGACTCCACAACCTCTCTGGGCAGCCTGTTCCAGGGCTCTGGCACCCTCACAGGAAAGTTCTTCCTCAACTGGAGATTGAACTTTACCTCTTGGTGCATAAAATCATTGGCCCAGGTTTAAACTTTCTTAAAGCACGATTTCTGGAAGGAAGTGGAAGTTTACTGTCTTTGCTAGTAAAACTAGCTTACAGCTGCTTTCTACTGCTAGCCATGCAATAGTAAGTGTAAAAAGCATATACTGACCACAGGAATGCTAGAAGACTTTAATTTCAGGTTTGTTTGTTTGTTTGTTTGTTTTTGTTTGTTTTAGTTTTTGTTTTTTAACCAACAGTAAAACAGTTGTACCTACTTCAGGGCTTTTCTGAAGTCTGAAATCATTGAAGAAGTTAACATCTTCAATGTGGCCATGGTGATACTCTGTTCTCAACTTATCAGTCTTTACAACTTGAGTTAAGTAGCAGTTCTAGTGAGCCACCTCCCTTTCCAAATATCTAAATTACCTTGAGAACAACATGCATATATGTGTGTGTGTGTGTATATATATACATAGATTTACTTTCAAGGAGTTTTACTGTACTTTTTGAAATTAAATCAAATGGGTGAATGACAAATTTGAGTAGAAATTATCTTAATGATCAGTTGTTCAAACTGAAGTACCTAAAATGTTTCTTCTGGTAGTGATGCAGTAAATGTATCATATGGAGAAATATGTTATCTACTGATAAACAGCTGTCTATAATGAGTTACACAAATCTTGGGGCAGTTGGAGGGAAAGATTGTGCCTAGAAATGAATGTGTAGCATGCATCAGAACCAGAACAGTTAAACAGTTGACGTAAATACCCTTCCTCAAACGCAGCTCTAAATGCACTTGAGACAGACTGTTCTGCTCATGGTATCACCAGGATACTTATATGTGCAGGGCTAGGTGTTAGTGGAGCAAAACCCAACCAGTAACACTGTAATGTGTTGTATAATTCAGGTTTTAGAAAACTTTAGCTGCTGAAAAATGTAATTTATTTCATTTGAACCTCTGTCAAGCACAAGACCTTTGAAGCTGGAGACTTAACCATGTAATACATACCATTGAAAACTACTGCACTAGGCAGATTGTTTTTGTAGAGGACAGGGGAAAACCTTACTGATGACTCATTTGAATTTCACTTCAAAAAAGAGAGTTCTTAAAAAAAAATCACTTCTTCATCTTCGAAGTTTCTAAATGTTCTTCGCTTTTGAAACTCTGCTAGCTCTTTTGTTTTTTAAAGATTTTTAAAGGTATATCTCTACTCTGCCCTGTTATACTACAAGACTAAAGTTCTACAAGACTAAAGGTTGTAGCCCTCTTTGCTCCTTTATGTTCAAATTCTCTTGAGGCTGCTGTCCCCATCTCTTCAGCCTCTTGTACCTTTTGGAGAAAAAAAAAAAAAAAAAAAACCCTTAAAGCACTTTTACCACATAAGGAAAACATTTAGGAATCTGTTTCCTGAATACATAGCTTGATTTTGCTTCTTGTTTCCATCCAATAAGACTGAGATTAGGTGTCTGGTTACTTTGTCCTCCTGGGCTGAGATGCCCATGACTACCACCTTGACAGAGTAGATAATTAAACTCCTATACAAAGTGAGTCCTTGCTAAAGGCCACTCTCAGAAAACGTAGGGTGAATAGATCCTCCCAACCTTCTCCTTTTTTCATCATCAAGTGGGTCAAAAATAAGCAAATAAAACAATGAGGCTAACTTGGAAAAGCAAACAACAAACACTATAAAAGAAATTAACCAAATTAATTCTTTTGCACTTTCAGGGCAAGCTCTTTGTTCATAAGGAGCTGGAAATAAATGTTTGGATTTTTTTTTTTATCTCCTCCTCCTCTTTCTCTCTTGCTCTCTCCCACATCAGTTCTTTATTTGTCCTGGTTATAATAAAGCCGTTCTGAACATCTTCAGCTTGAAAATTTGGGGTGAAAAGCCACTTTATTTCCAGACAGCTACTTTATATTTTTTCACCTGAAAAGTCTCTCTGTAATGTGCATAGATAGGTACTTTGGACCATATTGGCCATAAAGTCTATACTAACCTTACCTTTATATTGAGATGTCTGAAATGTAACTACCAGCTTGCTGGGTGGTGAGCAGATGTTTTGCAGCAGGACACGTGCAGCCTCCAAATGCTGCAGAGTCTCTTGCTTCTCTCTGTGCTACATTACATTTGTCAGAAAAATGGAGAAAAACAGTGTTAAGAGTTGGCCTAACCCTGCATATGGAAAATGTGAGAAATTGAATTTTTTTCTTCTTGTGCCATAAAAGATACTTGGAAATAGCTGTTAAAAAATGCTAATTTTCATCGTCAGCTGTTTTAAAATCACACATTCTAGCATGTTATCATGAAGATGATCAGTGTTTGTGAAATTCAGTCGCAATGCTGAGCCCAAAAATACAGCTTCAAGAGCTGAAGGAGCTTCGGTGCATGCAGCATGTACAGGTCTCCTGTGAGCTTCTCATGCGGCTCAGGGCAACAAACCTCAACACCCTTTGGGGGAAACTGAGACCTTCTCCTTCAGCACTTTGGGCTTTTAAGTTACTTTCCCAATCCTCCACTTCCCTTTCCTCGTCCTCCTCAAAGGAAATGCAAAACCCCACAACTGCATTGGGGAACGCAATGAAGTCAAGTCAGCAGAGCTGCTGATTTTGACTCCAAAGAGCTGCAGGGGCTTCAGGATGCAGCCCTGGTCTGCACCCATCATATTCCTGCGGCTGATGTTCACTCGACATCTTCTAGTCATGCTTTGCTGCAAGTTATTTCAGCAAGGCGAAGGTGATAAGATACTGTTAACTGCAGTCTCCTTAATGAGGGAGTTTTCTCAAATTACTGGGTATTGGTTTTTAGTCGCTGTATGGTGGGTATCTTTGAAGAAGATGTAATGAGGAAGAGAACTAGGTCATTCATTACTTACCTGCTTCCAACAATCTCCCACTCCAGCTAGTTGAAGGTACTACAGTAGTTCAGGATTTAACACTGCCTCTCAGCCACAATGTCCTACCTTTAGCTCCTGTTCTGCCTTCCCACCCTTGGATGTGTGGGTAGGAAAGTGAACTTTTTCATTCTGGAAAATGCTTTCAGCTGTAGCCCTTAAACAGAAGGAAATGAATAGATGTACATCTGGAATGGGATTTCCAGTACATCATGGCCAGCTAATTGCAGTTATTTCCATTAGACGGACTTGTTAAAGCATCATAAGTACCACTTTAATTTGTACTTCCTTTTTAAGAGAAACTGAGACCCTATATTTGAAAGATAGCTCTGAGAAGAGAGTAAAGAACACCTGCAGGTTTTTATGCACAGAGCAGCATCTGTATCTTTTAACATAATCCCTCAATACTTTTAAGCTATCGAGTCCTATGTTGTTGATTCTATTCCTTGGTTGTTACTTGGTCTTAAGACAGTACTGCAGCTTTTTGTGGTTCCATTTCCATGCATCTCCCTATAAATAAATAAGTGAAGAGGCCTAAATAAGTCAGGATTTAAGGGGTAAGCTGGCCTTCACAATTCATGCATCTCTGATATGTATCTTCTGGAGAAGGCCTGGACAGGAAAACCAACTCTTAAAGACAGAAGGAACTAGGAAAAGGTTGCAAGGTATTTTATCTTTTGCAGGCTGGCATTGTATTGTCTATGTCTCGTTGAAAAGCAGTCTTTCTCAAGATAGTTGCTCTCAATATTTTAACATCTGTGTTCCTTAACTTGAAATGCTGCTTTAAGATATGGGTGAAGATTTAAACGTGAATGGCAAAAGTCCACAGATGCTGTGAACCACTCAAAAGGCAAATTTTCAATTGCTTCCATCTTTATAAGCCCAGTTTTCCTCAGACCACCATAGAGTTTAGTCACATACGAGACTCTGGTGCCGCTAAGCCCGATTTGAGATACTGGCAAGAAAGAAAACACAACAAAAAGTGAAGATTCCTTCAGAATACGCTTACAAAGGGTGCTGCTGGCCTCTGTAACGGACTATTTGTAAGGTACTGACACAAAAGCCAACCAGAAGGTAGGGGCCTCTATAGCGGTGATAGCCAATGTTCCTGCATGCACCCGCGTGCTCGGTCCCGCACTGGGCTGACACTGCCGGCACGGCTGGTGCTGGGCTCGCCCAAGGCCGAGCCGCGCTCCGGCAGCCGTGCTGACGGCGCTGGAAATGCCCAAGGCCGAGCCGCGCTCTGGCAGCCGCGTTGATGGCACTGGAAATGCCCAAGGCCGAGCCGCGCTCTGGCAGCCGCGTTGATGGCACTGGAAATGCCCAAGGCCGAGCCGCGCTCTGGCAGCCGCGTTGATGGCACTGGAAATGCCCAAGGCCGAGCCGCGCTCTGGCAGCCGCGTTGATGGCACTGGAAATGCCCAAGGCCGAGCCGCGCTCTGGCAGCCGCGTTGATGGCACTGGAAATGCCCAAGGCCGAGCCGCGCTCTGGCAGCCGCGTTGATGGCACTGGAAATGCCCAAGGCCGAGCCGCGCTCTGGCAGCCGCGTTGATGGCACTGGAAATGCCCAAGGCCGAGCCGCGCTCTGGCAGCCGCGTTGATGGCACTGGAAATGCCCAAGGCCGAGCCGCGCTCTGGCAGCCGCGTTGATGGCACTGGAAATGCCCAAGGCCGAGCCGCGCTCTGGCAGCCGCGTTGATGGCACTGGAAATGCCCAAGGCCGAGCCGCGCTCTGGCAGCCGCGTTGATGGCACTGGAAATGCCCAAGGCCGAGCCGCGCTCTGGCAGCCGCGTTGATGGCACTGGAAATGCCCAAGGCCGAGCCGCGCTCTGGCAGCCGCGTTGATGGCACTGGAAATGCCCAAGGCCGAGCCGCGCTCCGGCAGCCGCGTTGATGGCGCTGGAAATGCCCGTGTCCTGCGAGTCACGGGCTGCCCCGGCTCTTCCGCCTCTGCGGCTGATCCAGCAAGGCGGGAGGCACGCACAGGCCCAGGCCACTCCAACCTACCTTTTCCCTACCCGTATGGCCTGTTGCTGAACATACAGCGTGAAACACGACTAGACTGCCTTTTTTTTTTCTTCTCCCCTTTTTCGGACCTTACCCTTGCAGGAGTTAAAAAATAAGGCTGTAGCGTCCTCATAACTCGCCTTTTCACGCAATCGTGCAGGTTCTTCAAAAAGCGTCTCTGTTGCCTTCCCCAGGCACATGCACTTCGAACAAACCGAAGCGCACCCAGAAGTAACGACAGGAAAGGGAGTTTCTCTCAGCACATGCCGAGGGCAGGGCAGGGAAGGGGAGGAGAGGAGAGGAGGCGGCCGGGGCACTTCCCAGCCGCGCTCGCTCCAGGAAACGCCTTTCTGTCCCGCCAGGGCCTGGCGGGGCCGCCGCCGCCTTCCCCTTTACTTCTCCGCCGCCCCTTCTCTTTCTC